CGAGTCAAGCATGCATCATCCGCGCACCTCAAGGCGGGGCTGCGGCCACCTTTCTTCTGCATTTAATTTGTTAATTAATTAGAAATTTTTGTAATTAATTATTTATCTTGAGAGTTAATTAATTAGGTGGTTTGTAATATTTATTCGGACCCTCCGAGCGAGGGAAATTGTATAATAAGCGTGCGTGAGTGTGTGTATGTCTCCCAACCCCACGTCTTTCTTCCCTTTTATTTACTAGCTTTCGATGGTTAGCCTAGGGCATGTTTCAATTAGCATACAAGATGATAGCATGAGTGCATCCATACATTTGTCTTACATGCACCGGGCTCGGTGCATCATACTAACTGCATTTGTATATCAATTCCAAAGTTGAATACATGTTAGTTGTAGCATCATCACATGCCATCTTAGAATAGCCGAGCCTATTGTAGTTGCATCTTGTATGTGTTGCATTAGCCATCTTAACATGAGCTAGGATCAGGCATTGATTACTAACTAGCTTTTATTTTCGCTCGGAGTACTAGGTAAGCATTTACGCTTTAGCATACCGCATGCGTGTGAGTGTTGCCATAATAGCATGATTACCATAAGGCTAGCTGCTTATGTGATATAACTGTTTGAATGCCTGTGGATGGAAGTTGAATTAACTAAATTGGGATAACGCATTAAAACTGTGAGTTTTAAGCCCACTAGATAGTGGCAAAATCATCTTTTCTAAAACCCACCTGAGGGTGGCGAAATCTACATTTTTTAGCCTACTTGCGAGTAGCAAACCATTTTCAAAACAAGCATGAAATGTTTTGTTCCAATTTAGGCGATTCGATCTATACTTGTTTGCTGTGCGCATAACATAGTAATTCTAGGCTAATAACCGGAATAAGAACACATAACGTTTTCAAAAACGGATATCATGGTTAGTAGAAGCCGATCTTCGAATCGGGCGAGAAGGGGTGCTCATAGCTGACCTTCCCCAATCGTACCCAAGTTCCCGAGCCGAGGCAACTTTGGTGATGACGGACACGTGGCCTTAGGCAAACGAGTCAGGGTTTCCTAAATTTTCCAAAATAAAATATTTAGGTGGCGACTCTGTATCTGGAAAAGCAGTCCATGTTTGGCACTTCTTTCAAAAAGTCTGTTTTCAAAAACGATTTTCCATAGTTGGACTCTTTGATGATTCATCGGTCTTGCATTGCACTCTGCGAGATTAGATACAGGACCGTGACACCAATTGAGTCCGAACTGTAGCATGAGGCCCGAGGGCCCGTCTACAGTGTGTAGCCAAGTTCGCCCCATGATGAGGTTATATGGCGAAGGGAGCTTGACAACCATGAATTCCACATCCACTGTTTGGAAGCCCGCCCGAATGGATAACGTGATTTTCCCCAACGGGTACTCTGGATTTGCGTTGAAGCCGAAAAATGGATGAGGAGTCGGAGACAGGTCTGATTTACTGAAGCCGAGTTTGAGAATGGTCTCGTAGTACATGACCTCCGAAGTGCTTCCCTGGTCTATGAGGACGCGTTCGACGGTCAATCGATTCACGTGTAGTTCAATGACCAATGGATCAATATAGGGGAGCGTTATGTCGATAAGATCGGAAGTGTCGAAGATGATACTCGGAGCTTTGTGCGGATGTTTCGCTTGTGTGCGTTGCTTCTGGGGGGCTGAATGAATTGTGTGTATGGTACATGGCGTTGGAAGGCTGTATATCATATGTATAACGCCGAGGGGAGGTGACTCCTGTCAAAGGGCAATAGTTTTGATTGTGCTCTTCCGGACGTGTTGCTGGAGCTGACCATCTTGCACCAAATCCTCGAGGTGGTCTTTCAAGGCATAGAAACTGTCCGTATCATGACCATGATCTTTGTGATATTCACAACGCCTGTCCCGCCTTCTCGTGTCAGGAGGTCCTACCATCTTGGACGGCCATCTAAAGAATGGAAGATGTTGGATTTTGGTCATAATCGAGCTGATAGGCTCTGACAGCTTCGTATATTTCTTGTTGATGCGCTTTGTGCGCCTGCTACGGACCTGCAGTTGCTCATTTGCCTGGTGCGAGCATTGATCGCTGGATTGGCTAGAGTCCCGTCTCCTGTCTCGTTTAGCCCGTTATTGTGGCTCAGGGCTTTGAGGTGGTGCGAAACTTATTGGCTGCGCAATTTCGGGAGGGGCTGTTTTGTTTTTCCACGTGTCCGGCATTAACCCGCAAGGCGTCATCTTCCACTTTGCAGTATTCCTCTACTTTCTTCATCGACCCCCAGACTGTTTTGGGGGGTCTTCTAGTCAAGGAACTGCAGAGGACACTATTTGGGTGTAATCCCATTTTGAAGGCGGTGATGGCCATGGAGTCGTTATAAGCATCGTCAACAAGATTAAAGCATTCCCAATATCACGCCGAATATGCTCTTAGTGTTTCTCCTGGCAGGATTTGCATTGCCCAGAGAGAGTCGGCTTGCTTCGGCTGGACTTCGTTGGTGATGAATCTGGCCCTGAAGGGTTTTTGTAGTTGGTGGAAGGTTTTGATCGAAGCTGGCTCCAGTTTATAATACAACCTGACCGCCAATGGTCCCAAACTGCTGGGAAATATTCGGCACATGAGGGCCTTCTCGTCTGCATGCAATGTCATGGCCTGCTTGTAGTGGCGGATGTGGGCGGTGGGGTCTGATTTTTCGTCGTACAAGGTGAACGATGGTGCTTTGAATTTCTTGGGTAGCGCAACCTTTGCAATCCGTCATGCGAAGGGATCGTGTTGGTCTTCGTCCAAACTATTCCTTCTTCTCTTGTGCATTTCACGGGGACTTTCTTCGGAAGAACTGGTGGTTTCGTGTCGTCCCTTCTTCCTGGGCTCTGGAGATAATGAGTTAGAGTCGCTGTCAGTGTCTTGTCGTGCTCGAGGTTGTCGACCACCTGCCTTCGGAGGTTGTTCTAGATTTGGATGGGCAGCTTGCTTGGACTTTGTCATTTCCAAGGCCAAATCTTCATGAAGACGTTCGTTCTCAACGATCATGTTTTCTAACCTTTGTTCATTTTGCTTTGCTTGTTCCATGATCGCCTACATTGTCTCGTGCTCCGAAGTAGAGGGTGAGGTGAAATTCAACGCATGTCGTGCGACGATAGTCTCTGGTCCAAGCAAGTTTGTTGGAGTAGTTTCATCGTGAGGTGTAAGGTCGACAGTGACTGTGGGAGGATCTTCCGTCACGCTCGCCATGGATGTGCTTGAGTATTCCCACAGACGGCGCCAATTGTGGGTATGTGGTTTGGAAATACTCTTCAGGATCTGGGGGAACGCTCGTGATCCTCTTTTGGTCACCTGAAAAGGAATATACACTCCGGCGGGGGTGCCGGAATTAGCACTCTGACGGACAAGTCAGTCACCACACTCAAGAATACTTATATTCTAAGTTAAGCACTACAATTCTCACATACCTTTCTTAGTATGTTGTTCCTTTATTTATACTTGTTTCCTGGGGCTCATGGCCAGGCCCACTTGTCGCTCATCCTCTTCTCAATTACTCGGCTCCATGGTTAAGTATCTGTTCGGCCCATCTGTTATATTCGGCGTCCTTATCGTGCAGAGTAGAGTCGTGTAATATATGTCTTCAAGAGTATGGTTCTGATTATTCCAGTTATTCAGCTCCCATAGCACCAAAGCAATCCCTCCATACACGTGTATGGAGGACGAGTCTAATGTCCTCCAGCTCCCCAAAAAGGTGCCGAAAAGCAGCCGACCACTTGAAGTGGTCGGCCAGCTAGTTTAAGTGGTCGGCCGACCACTTTACGTGGTCAACCAGAGCAAAAATTGGTCGGCCATAGGTGGGAGAGGTCAACACTCTAAATGCAAGGTGGTGGTGTGGTAGCCGACCAAAAAAGATGGTCCAAAGACAAAGAAAGCCACTTATTTGGCAAGAAAACTAGCTGGAAAAAGGAAAAGTGGTCTCCAAAGAGAAATACTGGTCTCCCACCCTTGTACCACCTTCCAAAAAAGGAAAACAAGGTTTGTACCAAAAACAAACCAAAGCGGATGCAAGACGAGAAATCTGGAGGCGAAACACGCGGCAAAAAACCGCGAAAACTAGCTGACGAGCATCAAAAGTGGTATACAACCACAAAAGTGGTCTCCCGGACCACAATGTTCCTCTACGTAGAGGCAACAAGGTGTGGTTCAAAAACCACTCTAAACGGAGAATGTTAAGCGGTCCCGAGACAAGGCGCGCGGCCAAAGCCTCCAAAAATCGGAAAGTAGTCTTCAAACGGGAAAAGTGGCATACGACCACAAAAAGTAGTCTAAGACGACAGAGAGATGGTCAGCAAAGACCACTTCCTCCCTCCGGGGAAGAGAAACAAAGTTCGGTCCACAAACCGAGCCGAAGCACAAAAGAGTTCAGAGGCCCGGAGGCAAGGCTCTCAGCCAAAACTCTGAAACCTCTAAACGAGCACAACATGGACCATCACCGAGCACTCAATCGATGACGTCTGAGTCTTAAGGTCAGTTAAAAATGGGGTGTCTACAGCCGCATTGAAGTGGTTTGTGTAAGAAAGTGATCAAGATAAACAAGAAGCTTGAAATGCCCAACACCCTGCGGGGGATACTTCTGATGAGGGAGCAATCAAAACGGAGCCGGATAACTATTTGTCGACTGCCGAAGGTGCATGGTGGGAGGATGATGATCTGTTTTTGGCCCACACCGACGAGGATTGGGGTGAGTGCCTCCCAGATAACACGTGGTATATGGAAGAGATAGATCGCATGACAAGAAGTGGGCGGTATTTCAAGCCACCGCACTTAGATCAAGCTGAGGCATCTGGGAAAGACAGAGAAGTTGAGAAACATAGCTTTGGGGGCAGAATTTAGTTTTGGGGTATCAATTTTGGGGGCAGAATTCAGTGTTGAGTGCAGTCCTACAGCTTTGATTGCATCTGTGTTGTTAACATCTGAGCTGAGGTGCTGCATGGTTTCTGATTGCTATTTTTGATTTGTTTTATTTCTTTTTGCTAGGTAGTATAACACCATAGTTTCAGACGATTTGGATATCCCCCAAGCGCTCTGGATCCGTGTCAGAAGGCTTTGCAAAGCCGGAGATCTTGTTAGGACACAACCCGCGTTTACTTCGCTCCCGTCGGTTACTAGACGAATGGAGGTCAATGTGGTTAAGAAAGATGACCCGAGCTAAGGGTTAGAT